GTGCCTGCAGGTGCAGTGGGGAGGAGGGGAGTGGCAGGGATGGTCCGGGAGCATAGGCAAGCCCCGAGTGCTCTTGGGCCAGGCTTTGCCCTCAGCCGGAGCAGCTTGGGGAGGGAGCTGAGGCCACCTGGGGCCAGTTGGAATCTCAGCCCAGCCCTCGTTGGCTGACCTTGGGCAGGCTACTTATCCTCTCCGAACAAGCTTAGATTACATTTTTCTGATGAGTTGAGCCTTTAATGATTGTGGAGCCACCTTTATTTCCAGACATTCTTTTTAGCTTTAAAGTCTGTTTTATGTTCATATAGCTATAGGAGCTTCCTTTTGGTTAATTGCTTTTTATATCTTTAGCTTTTAACCTTTTTGTATCTTTATATTTTAGATGCGTCTTTTTTAAAGAACATCATTTTCTTTAATGTCTGTCAATCTTTGTATTTTAACTGGAATACTTTATGATTAATATTTATGATTAACATAATTACTGATGTGTTTGGGTTTTAAATCTACCATATTACTGTGTACTTTCTATTTGATGTACCTGATCTGTTTTTTTTTCTTCTTCTCTCTTGACTTCTTTTTTTTATTTTTTTTTATTTTTTTTTTTTAAAGATTTTATTTTTTCCTTTTTCTCCCCAAAGCCCCCCAGTACATAGTTGTGTATTCTTCGTTGTGGGTTCTTCTAGTTGTGGCATGTGGGACGCTGCCTCAGCGTGGTCTGACGAGCAGTGCCATGTCCGCACCCAGGATTCGAACTGATGAAACACTGGGCCGCCTGCAGCGGAGCGCGCGAACTTAACCGCTCGGCCACGGGGCCAGCCCCTCTTGACTTCTTTTTGACTGATAATTTTTTTTTTTGAGGAAGATTAGCCCTGAGCTAACTGCTGCTAATCCTCCTCTTTTTGCTGAGGCAGACTGGCCCTGAGCTAACACCCATGCCCATCTTCCTCTACTTTATACGTGGGATGCCTCCCACAGCATGGCTTTTGCCAAGCGGTGCCATGTCTGCACCCGGGATCCGAACCGGCAAACCCCGGGCCGCCAAGAATCGGAACGTGCGAACTTAACTGCAGCGCCACTGGGCCGGCCCCTTGACTGATAATTTTTTATTCTTTTTCTCTCTCTACAGAGGTTTGGGAGTTATACCCACTATTTATTGCTTAAAAAATTTTTTTTTTTTTTTTTTTAAAGATTTTATTTTTTCCTTTTTCTCCCCAAAGCCCCCCGGTACATAGCTATGTATTCCTCGTTGTGGGTTCCTCTAGCTGTGGCATGTGGGACGCTGCCTCAGCGTGGTCTGATGAGCAGTGCCATGTCCGCGCCCAGGATTCGAACCAACGAAACACTGGGCCGCCTGCCGCGGAGCGCGCGAACTTAACCACTCGGCCACGGGGCCAGCCCCTTAAAAATTTTTTTAATTAAACTTTTTATTTACACATAATTTTAGACCTTAGAAAAGTTACAAGAATAATACAAAAAAATCTTTCTATACCTTTTACCCAGATTCCCCAAATATTAATAGTTGACTACATTTGCTTTATCATTTTCTCTTTCCCTTTCCATTCCCTGCTCCCTGCCTTTTTCACTTGACACACACATACGCATGCATGTGCAGACACACACATTTTTTTCTTGACCGTTTGAAACTGATTTGCAGACATCATGTTCCTTTACCCCTAAATACTGCAGTAAATCTTAAAAACAAGAACAGTCCTTTACATAACTGCTGAATCAGGAAGTCAGCATCAGTACAATGCTGTTATTTCATCTACAGTTCTTATTTAGGTTTTGCCAATTGCTCCTTTATAGGAATTTAGGGAGTATTACCCTTTACAGGAAAAGAATAGCTTGAATCATGCATTGTAGTGGGTTGTCCTGGCTCGTACAGTTCCTCAGTCTTTTAGTCTTTCGTGACATGATGTTTTGGAGAGCACAAGCCATTTTGTGGGTTGTTCCCCAGTTGGGTTGTGTGGTGTTCCTTCTGATCAGTTTCGGAAGTGATGCCTTCTTTGCGTTGCATCAAGGGGCACGTGATGTCATTTGTCTCATGGCTGCTGAGGTGGACTTGATTCTCTTGGTGATGGTGGTGTCTGCACTGTCACCACTGTGAAGTGACTCTGTCTTCTCTTGTAAGTAAGTATCTGAGGGGAGATACCTTGAGCCTAAATACAGAAATACTTCTTACTCTTCTTACTCCTCAAACTTTCACCCACTCGTTTAGCACCATATGGATGATTCTCGTCTGAATCACTTTTTATTATGCTGGTTGACAGATGAGCTTTATCTAATTCTCTTATTCCTTCCGCATTTATTAGACAGCTGTCTGCTGTAAGGAAGCTGTTCCTTTCCCCCCTCATTTTTTTATTTGCTTTCTTGTTTCTTCTCAGACTCCAGTGAAGCTTATGATAGACCTTCTCAGTCTGTCTTTACGTTATCTACTCTCTTCTGTATTTGCCATCTTTTTATCTCTCCGTGCCACTTTCTAGATAATTTTTTCTACTTTGTCTTTAAATTTACTCATTCTAACCTGCTGTTAAACATATTTTTGTTAGTGTCATTTTTTTCATTTCTAAAATTCATTTCTAAAATTCTTTTTAGTTCTTTTTAAAATATGCTTGCTAAGTCATTTGTCCAAATTCCTTGCCTTTTTATCCTTGAATGTAGTAAGATATTTGCGTTATAATCAGTGTCCATTCATTCCAGCATCTGTTGTCTTTGAGGTTTTCTTTCTGTTGCTTGTTCTTTCATTAGTTCTTGTTCATGTCATCTTGTTTTCTGAAACCTTTCTTATCTTGTGGGCCACTTACTGTACTTGAAAAATTCTTCAAAAGAAAAATTTAAGGCATAGGATGAAGGTACCTTATTCCAAATGTGCATGTAGTTTTGAATTTTTTTCTGTCTATTTTTGAGTACTATCAGTCCAGGACGAATTTGTTCCCATTTTAGGGGTTGGATATGAGCCCAGGCTGCAGGACTGCATGGGGTTGGCTGACATTTGCTTCACTCTGATCCTGAACTTGAAGTGTGCTGGCGTCCTGGCTTTTTGGAGAAAGAGTGTTATGTTAGATGTAGCATTCTTGCCTGGCATTGGATTTTGATTCTGTTTTTTCCATGCTACAAGGTGATCAGAATAGAAGTTCATATTTTGTAAAATGAACATTAACTGCAGGACAAAAGTAGCTCCCGTGCTTTCTTGCTTCTCTGAGGGTCCAGTCTTTCTTAGGTTTTGACTTGATTATTTTATTACTGAATTGTCAGCTCTGTTACCTTTTAGAAGATTTTTTAAATTCTATCACCAGGATCTTTAGTTGTTTTCAACAGGAGGCTTGGTTTGAACGGCCCAGCCAGCCATTTCTGGACATGCAGTCTGCGTCAGTGTTCAGAGGTGTGCTCAGACCTCAGCTCCGTTGGTTATAGAGCAAATTTCCTTTTTATTTTTGAGGAAGGTTAGCCCCGAGCTAGCATCTGCTGCCAATCCTCCTCTTTTTGCTGAGGAAGACTGGCCCTGAGCTAACATCTGTACCCATCCTCCTCTACTTTATATGTGGGACGCCTGCCACAGCATGGCTTGACAAGCCACACCCAGAATCCCAACTGGTGAACCCCAGGCCACTGAAGCAGAACGTGCAAACTTAACTGCTGCGCCACCAGGCTGGCCCTATAGAGCAAGTTTCTTAATTTGTCCAAATCTTGACTTCCCCTCTCCCCTGGAAACCATTAACCTACTCTGTGTTTTAATAAATTTACCTGTTCTGACATTTCATATAAATAGAATCACACTATATCTAGCCTTTTGTATCTGGCTCCTTTCATTTAGCATAGTGTTTTCAGCATTGCTTTGTGTTGGTCTCAGGTTATCAGTAACGATGCTCTCAACTGGGGATACCTGGGTCACTCACCTGGGCCCTAATACTTCTGAGCCCCCACAGACATTTCCCTGCCTGGAGCCAGTGTTGTGGCCAGACTGGCCCTGGTGTTCTTAGTATGATTGCAAGATGCACCTCAGCAGCAGCCATCAGAGAACTTTGAAAAAAACAAGGTTTATTCCTCACAGGTCCTGGAGGGTACGCGGCACACCCTGTGCCACACAGTGAGGTCATGGGGAGAGAGAGCGAGCACGCATGTGCATGCGCGGACCTGGGGTTCTGCCTTCAGTGGGGTCGAGGGTGGGGTGCCTTGGGTTTCTCAGGTTCACTTTTATTGGTGAATTTAAAATATACAGGCAGTAATTAAGGCACAGGAAGGGAAAAGCAGGTCACTCAGGCGAGCAGTTATCCAGGCCATCCAGGGCTTTCTCCAAGGGGAACTTCCTGGGTGGGCAGCTTGGCACTTTACCTAGTTGCACAGCTGGCAATATATTTATGTGGAATGGATGTCTTTGAAATGGATGCCTTGTCAATCAAAAGCTGAATGTCAGGCACTTACATTAAATAAAGAAACTAATAGTCAGGCACTTTTACCACAAAAAGTTCACCCGTATGGTAGCATTTATGAGTACTTCATTCCTTTTTATGGCTGAATAACATGGCTTTGTGTAGATATCCCACATTTTGCTTATCCATTCATCCATTGATAGACACTTGGGTTGTTTCCATTTTTTGGCTCTTATGAATAATGCTGTTAGGAACATTTGTGTCCAAGTGTTTGTATGGACATGTATATGCTTTTGATTCTCTTTGGCAAATACCTGAGAATGGAATTGCCAGGCAATAACAGTAGTTCTGTGTTTAGCTTTATGAGGAACTGCCAAACTGGTTCCAGAGTGGTTGCTCCATTTTACATTCCTCACAGCAGTGTATGAGGCTTAAAAACGTTACTCTTGTGGGGCTGGCCCCGTGGCCGAGTGGTTGGGTTCGCGCGCTCCGCTGCAGGCGGCCCAGTGTTTCGTTGGTTCGAATCCTGGGCGCGGACATGGCACTGCTCATCAGACCACGCTGAGGCAGTGTCCCACATGCCACAACTAGAAGAACCCACAACGAAGAATACACAACTATGTACCAGGGGGCTTTGGGGAGAAAAGGGAAGAAATAAAATCTTTAAAAAAAAAAAACGTTACTCTTGCATCTTTTTGTCATATGCTGGATATCTTGGTTCTTCACAACGGTAATATAACTGTCATGTCCTACAGTATCCATGAAATGGTTTTAAAATAACAATTTATTGCTAACAAGGATACTAAATGATGTTCAATATGTCTTTATAGCTCATTTTATCCAAAGAATACACCAATAACACATGTTAAGGTCAGTTAGAAAAATTATTGTCTCTTGTAGTTTTGTTTCCAATTTGATAAATGTATTCGTTGACATATATTTTCAACTTTAGAGACTGCCCTCCCTGCTTTTTTTCATCGTGTGGAATATTTACATGATTCAAAAGTAGAACCTGGGTAATGGTGCATTCAGACAAGCCTTCCTTCCATCCGTTCTGCCCTGTCCTTCCCTCCTCCAGAGGTAACTGTTTTTACAGTTTCTAGTTCATCTTCTCAGTGATTCTTTTGGACATATAAGGGAACACACTCACACCTGACCTGACTCAGCACTAAACCTGGTCAGGAAGTCTTGTGTTTCCCAGAGTTCAACACACCTTGTCTTCTCATGTGTTTCACGTTTACATCTTGTATTTTCTTGTGAAAATAATTTCTGGAAGAAGGTTCCTCTGGACCTTCCCTCTTACTGTCTAATAGCCTCTCTCTCCTCCCTCTCATTCTCTGAATCTGCTCTCTCTCCCATCCCTCTCAGTGGCTGAGTCTTTTTTCCTTCTTTCTGTGCTGAACAGTTGGGTCTCTGTTTCCAGCAGCTTTCCCTCACAGTGAATGTCTGTGCTTCTGGAAGTGGGTCTTTGCCAATTATTTCTCAGATCCTCATGTTCTTAAGTGGCCACAGCACGTTAGGTCTCTTGGTGACTTTGGGAGTATATTTTATAGTCCCCTGCAACTCTGAGCCTCAGAGGCATTGCTCAGATTCCACTCGGGGGGAGGTGCTCCCCTGTTGGGGGTGCACATTGCTTGGTGACTTTGGAGACGCGCAGCTTGTGGCCCACCAGAATCTTCCCCCACTTCCTACACATCCTCTGATGGGAACTACCCTAGGCAGTTGGGTCACATCTCCCTGGATCATGAGGTTTCTGAGGAGACCCTACCATGTAGGTTTTGTGTGCTTGTTGTAGATGTCTATGGCCTTGTTCTTTTCCTATTCTGGTAGATCTGTTGGTTTCATTGGGAGTTTTGGGAGGTTAAAAATCTACACTACTACCCTGATCTCATCCTACGCCCAATGTTTGACAACAACAAAAAGTAAGACCCAGTGAGAGAGATTCAGCGACTTGTTCAGGGACATCTAAGTAGTGAGAGAAGAAGCTCTAACAGAAATGGAGACTGTTGGATTCAAACTCTGTTACTCATGTTCACCCCGCCTAAAACAGTTGTTTCCTCCTTAGTATCTGGCACTGTGTTCTTCTTTAAGTGGCGGCCTGAAGCTGTTTAAATCTCAGGGTAGTTGCTGCACTTTTGGGGTTCCTGGGGGCCGATGCAGGGTCTGGAGAGGGGGGACTGTCGTCAGTGTGCTGGGCTCCCCATTGGTATTTCGTTGTGCTTCTCCCCTGCAGTGGCACTGACCACAGTCTGCAGAGCACGCAGCCTGGCCTTGTGTGAGTATGTTTACTAGCAGAAGAAACCAAGGTTGGGGCCCAGAGGAAATGTGCTCACTAAAGTGAGTTTGCTCTTGAGTCTACAGGTCCCACCTCTCCAGGAACAAGACAGTTCATGCAATAGCATCAGAAAACTCCAAGGTCAGGAATCCATCCCGGGTCAAGGGACCGCTGACCAGAGGCCTCTCCCTGGAGGACCCTGGCAGACGCACAAGAGACACAGGACAGAGCAGGTTCTAGAGTGGCTGCTTATTTCCCAGGAGCAGCCCCAAACCACCAAGTCCTGGGTAAGTTGCTTATTTATTTATTCCCACTTCTTTCTTTATTACTTTTTTTTTTGGCAAGGAGAGGGATGGGGGATCCTCAGGCCTCACCTCAATCCTGTTATATCAGACTCTTCATTTTAACAAGATTCAGGGATTCATGCACATTAAAGTTTAAAACAAACCTGATAGCAAATCCATATTCAGATTTTGCCTGGGGTGTTTCTTTTACTTCTGATATTTTGTTATGAAAATTTTCAAGCACAGGGCAACATTAGAATTATTTTACAGTGAACATCTGTATACCCATCGCCTAGAATTTACTATTAACATTTAACCAAACTTTTTATCGCATTATCCATCTTTCCATCCCTCTATGCATCCATTAACCCATCTTATTTTTGGTACATTTCTTGATCTATTCCAGACATCAGCATGCCTCCCTCTAAATATTTCAGTATGCATAGCATTAACTTACTGTTCACTGTTTACTTTTTTTTAATTGCAGTAACCTTGGTTTATAACATTTTATAAATTTCAGGTGTACATCGTTATTTATTTCCACTTCAGTATAGATTACATCATGTTCACCACCCAACACCACACACATGTGCCTAATCATCCCTTTCACCCTCCTCCCTCCCCCTTCCCCTCTGGTAACCACCATCCAATCTCTGTTTCTATGTTTGTTTGTTGTCGCTTTTATCTTCTACTTATGAGTGAGATCATACGGTATTTGACTTTCTCCTTCTGACTTATTTCACTTAGCATAATACCCTCAAGGTCCATCCTTACATTTTTTTTTGACTTGCCTTTTCATTCCATTAATGCTGTCTTTTGATAACAGACATTTATAGTTTTAACTTATTCTGGTTTATAAATTTTCCTCTTTTACTGCTGGTGCTTTTTGTGTCTAATTTAAGAACTTTTTTTTCTTAACCTGAAGCTCGTGAATTAATTTTTCTTTGTTATTATTTTACCTCTTGCATTTAGATTTAGAGTACATCTAGAATTAATTTTTATGTTTGGTGTGGTAGGAGTCAAGATTTATTTTTTTTCTTAGCGTTATCTGATTGTCCCAGTCCTACTGAAGTGATTGACCTCCACCTATAACTCTGCAGTGCCCCCTTTGTCATATATTGAGGATCCATATATATGGTTTGGTTTTATAACTCTTTATTCTGTTCTCTTGGTATACTTTTCTCTCTTTATGCCAGTACCACACTGTATTTATAATAAGTCTTGATATCCAGATGCTTCCAGTTTTTGGTGATTATGAATGCTATCAACATTCATGTATGGGTTTTTGTGTGGAAATGAGTTTTCAGATCAGTTGGGTAAACCTAGGAGCATTGTTACTGGATTGTATGGTAAGAGTATGTTTAGCTTTGTGAAAAACTGTCTCCCAAAGTGCGTATGCAATTTTGCATTCCCACCAGCAGTGAATGAGGGTCCCTGCTGCTCCTCCTCCTGGGCAGGGCTTGGTATTGTTAGGTTTTTAAAAATTTTGCCATCCTCATAGATGTGAGGTGGTATTTCATTGTGGTTTTAAGTTGGATTTCTCTAATGGCTAGTATTATTGAGTATCTTTTCATATGTGATTTACTCTCTGTTTATCTTTGGTGATGCATCTATTCAGATCTTTTCCTCATTTTTTAATTGGGTGGTTTTCTTGTCATTGATTTTTAAGAGTCCTTTACATATTCTTGATTCTAGTCCTTCAACAGAAAAGTGATTTGTAAATATTTTCTCCCAGTCTCTGGCTTGTCTATCCATTTTCATAACACCAGTTTTCACAGAGCAAACTGTTTTATTTTATTTTTTATTTTTTGTTTGTTTTTTTTTTTTGCTGGGGAGGATTCGCCCTAAGCTAACAACTGTTGCCAGTCTTTTTATTTTTTCCTGCTTTATCTCCCCAAATCCCCCCTGTACATAGTTGTATATCTTAGTTGCAGGTCCTTCTAGTTGTGCCATGTGGGACGCCGCCTCAACATGGCCTGACGAGCGGTGCCGTGTCCGTGCCCAGGATCTGAACCAGTGAAACCCTGGGCCGCTGCAGCGGAGCGCACAAGCTTAACCACTCGGCCATGGGGCCGGCCCCAGTTTCGTTCTTTTTAAAGATTGTTTTGGCTATTTGGAGTCCCTTCAGACTCCATATGAATTTTAGGATGGGTTTTTCTATTTCTGCAAAAAGTGTCATTGGGGTTTTTACAGGGATTGCACTGAAAATGTGGGTCACTTTGGTGGCATTCACATCTTGTGGTTAAGTCTTCCAATCCATGAACGTGGGCTAGGTTTCCATTTATTTACATCTTCTTCAGTTTCTCTCAGCAAGCTTTTCCAGTTTTCATGCTACAAGTCATTTACCTCCTTGGTTAAGCTATTAATTCTTTAGTATTTTATTCTTTTTGATTCTGTCATAACTGGAATTGTTTTCATAGTTTGCTTTCCAGATTGATCATTGTTACTGTATAGAAATGCAACTGATTTTTGTGTCTTGACTTGTATCCTGCTGCTTGGCTTAGTTTATTTGTTAGTTCTAACTGGCTTTTGTGTGTGTGGAATCCTTAAGGTTTTCTACGTAGAGGATCGTGTCCTCTGTGAGCAGAGGTAATTTTACTTCTTCCTTCCCAGTTTGGATGCCTTCTTTTTTCTTGCCTAATTGCTCTGACTAGAACTTCCTTTGTTGAATAAAAGTGGTGAAAGCAGACATCCTTGCCTTGTTTCTGATCTTAGAGGCAAAGGTTTCAGTCTTTCACCATTGAGAATGATGTTCTTTGTGGGTTTTTAGTATGTGGCTTTTATTATCTCGAGGTACTTTCCTTCTATTCCTGGTTTGAGTGTTTTTTATCATGAAAGGGTGTTGAATTTTGTCAAACGCTTTTTCTGTATCAATTGACATAATCATTTTTTTTTTAAACTTCATACTATTAGTGTGATGTATTCACTGATTGATTTTTTAATGTTGAACCATCCTTGCATTCCAGGAATAAATCCCATTTAGTCATAGTGTATGATCTTTTTAGTATGCTGCTGAATTTGACTTGCTAGTATTTTTTTGAGGATTTTTGAATCTATATTCATAAGGGATATTCGTCTGTAGTTTTCTTATAGTGTCTTTGGCTTTAGTATCAGGGTAATGCTGGCTTCGTAGAATGACTTCAGAAGTGTTCTCCCCTCTTCAGCTTTTTGGAAAAGTTTGAGAAAGATTGATGTTAATACTTCCTTAAATATTTGGTAAAATTCACCAGTGAAGCCATCAGGTTCTGGGCTTTTCTTTTGGGGACTTTTTTCTTTTGGAGATTTTTGATTACCTATTCAATCTCCTTATTAGTTATAGGTCTGTTCAGATTTTCTATTTCTTTGTGATTTAGTCTTGATAGGTTTTGTGTTTCTAGGAATTTATCCATTTCAACTAGGGTATCCAATTTGTTGGTGGACAGTTGTTCATACTACTCTCCAGTAATCCTTTTTATTTCTGTAGAATCAGTAGTACAATTGTCCCCCCTTCTCCGCAGTTTTGCTTTCCATGGTTTCAGTTACCCACAGTCAACTGAAGTCTGAAAATATTAAATGGAAAATTCCAGAAATAAACAATTCTTAAGTTTTAAATTGTGTACCATTCTGAGTAGTGTGATGAAATCTTGCACCATCCTGCCCTGTCCCATCCAGAACATGAATCATCCCTTTGTCCAGCATATCCATGCTGTATACACTACCCACCTGTTAGTCACTTAGTAGCTGTCTCAGTTATCAGATCAACTGTTGCGATAGCACAGTGCTTGTGTTCAAATAACCCTTATTTTACTTATAATGGCCCCAAAGTGCAAGAGTAGTGATGCTGGCAATTCAGATATACCAAAGAGAAGCTGTAAAGTGCTTCCTTTAAGTGAAATGGTGAAAGTTCTCAATAATGAAAGAAAAAATATGGTAGGCTGAGGTTGCTAAGATCTATGGTAACTTTTATTACAGTATTTTGTTATAATGTTCTATTTTATTATTAGTTGTTGTTAATGTCTTACTGTGCCTAATTTATAAATTAAGTTTTATCATAGGTATGTACGTATAGGAAAAAACATAGTATATGTGAAGTTAGGTGCTATACACAGTTTCAGGCATCCACTCGGGGTCTTGGATGTATCCCCCACAGATAAGGGGGGACGACTGTAATGTCCCACTTTCATTTCTGATTTTAGTAATTTGAGTCTTTCTTTTTTTCTTAGTCCATACCTGAAGGTTTAGCAATTTTTTTGATATTTTCAAAGAACCAACCTTTGGTTTTACTGATTTTTCTCTGTTGTTTTTCTAGTTTACATTTTGTTTATCTCTATTCTGATTTTTATTATTTCCTTCTTTCTCTAGCTTTGAGTTTAGTTTGTTCTTTTCCTGATTTCTTAAGTTAGATTGTTAATTTGAGTTGTTTCTTGGTTTTTAATATAAATGTTTATAGCTATAAATTTTTCCCTCAACACTACTTTTGCTGCCTCCCATAAATTTTGGTATGTTCCGTTTTGTTTTCATTCATTTCTGAGTATTACTAATTTCCCTTTTGATTTTCTACTTTCTCCTTTGTGCCCATGTTGTACTCTCTGTGTTCCTTCATCTTGGCTTCTTTGACTGCCTATTACATTTGCATGTCTTTAATTTTGCTTTCCTCTGCAATACTAAACACTTCTTGTGGGCAGGAGTGTGTTTCATCCATTTTTAATCACCTGCACCTAGCTGAATACCCGGCACCTGGTATTCTCGTATGTTGAGTGAAAGACTGACTGATTTAATGCACATTGATGGGATATTTTCAATAAGTTTTTACTTTTCTCACAAAGTAGAATTTAAATAATGGACGCCTTATGCAGCCTGTTGTTTCCTACAAACTTAGTAAAATAACTTGAGATCGAGTGGGAATATGCTATTTCAGGGACCATTCTCATTCACGGATGTGTTTGTGGACTTTACCTGGGAGGAGTGGCGGCTGCTGGACGTAGCTCAGAAGCACCTCTACAGGAGTGTGATGCTGGAGAACTATAGCAACCTGGTGTCCCTGGGTGAGTGCTGCCTTCCTGAGAGGAATGTGCATAATTTCCAGGCTTCCCCTTCTTGGTTGCTGAAAGCTGGGGGCTTTTGTAAACTACTTAGTGATTTTGGACTTAGATTTAGAGGTCAGATTTTCTTAGTCTCCCTTTGGCATCAGAATATGCTAGTTGAATGGTCTTTACTTTGCCAAAGTGCAGAAGGGCAGCTTTATCATGCCGCCTCTAAACTGAATCTCTCCCATTCTTTTCTTTTTTTTTAGGATTTTCTTTTTTCTTTTTTTTCCCCAAAGCCCCCTGGTACACAGTTGCATATTTTTAGTTGTGGGTCCTTCTAGTTGTGGCATGTGGGATGCCGCCTCAGCATGGCCTGATGAGCGGTGCCATGTCTGCGCCCAGGATCCGAACCAGTGAAACCCTGGGCTGCCGAAACTGAGCACACGAACTTAACCACTCGGCCACGGGGCAGGCCTCTCTCCCATTCTTTAGAATCTCTGAATCTAGGCAGTTTTGGGTCAGGTTGTCTGTGATTTTTCCATTCACAGGGCATCAGCACACCAAACCTGATATCATCCTCAAGTTGGAACGAGGAGAAGAGCTGTGGATGATGCAGGCCCAAAGCCCAAGTCAGGGCCGTCCAGGTGAGGGACAGGACATTAGATCCTTTCCTCCTCGTTCAGAATTGGTGTGAGTTCTGATGTGATGTGCACCTCATGTTTGTACTTTTTATCTCATCATAACCGTTCTCTGTTAGTTGATCTCCTTCTCTTTGGCATTCTCAGTTTCCTCCTTACTTTCCCATGGTAATAGACTCATCTCAATATGCATTTCAGCATGCTTTTCCTCTTTACCTCATTTGATGTGACTTTCACACCTCTTCTACTTCCTATTTTTTTATTTGTATTTTTAAGTCCCTTACACTTGTACTCAACAACCGCACTCCCAAATTCCTTCCTTCTCCTTGAAACCCACTAGTAGATTCTACCCTTCCATGTTTCTGCATGCTAATCAGTTTAATGTCATTACTCTCCTTTCTCAGTGCATTCCTGCGTCACTTGGTAATACCAGTTATCCTGCCTGAAGCCTTCCTTCCTCCCCCGTATTCAAGTGACAACCTGTTGACCCCACTCGCCCTGCATGATGAAGTGATCATTCTCCTCATGCTTCACTGGCTTGTCTTGCTCTTCCCTCTGAATCAAAGGGATCTTTTTTATATTCTGCACTCTCCTTGTATATTGTAACTTTTAAGACTTCCGTTCTGAAGATTTAATCTCATTCTTTCTCTATTGATAATTCACAACCCCATCCTTCTTTTGTCTGCCCTTTGGGTACTGGGTTTGATTGCTCCACAGGGCATCTTCACTGCATGTGCCACTCCCTTGTCTCATTTTTAGAACCTGGAATTGTCTCTCCCACTGCTCCGTAGCCACATCATACCTTCTTCTCACTTTTCTGATTGTTCGTTTTGCTGTGCTTCTAGTTCTTTTTTCTGGTACTGGGGAGTCAGCCTAAATCTCCTTTATATGCAGTTCTCCTCACTAGTGTTGCTATGGTGTTAGTATTTTGGTCCTTTAAAAAGAAGTCTTTTAAGGCCCCTATCTTCTCCATTCCCACCCAAAACCAAGCCAATATTATCTCATTTCTTTTTTTTTTCTTTTTTTTTTCTGCTTTTTCTCCCCAAATCCCCCCAGTACATAGTTGTATATTTTAGTTGTGGGTCCTTCTAGTTGTGGCATGTGGGACGCCTCCTCAGCGTGGCCTGATGAGCAGTGCCTTGTCCACGCCCAGGATTTGAACCAGTGAAACCCTGGGCCACCAAAGCAGGGTGTGTTAACTTAACCACTTGGCCACAGGGCCGGCCCCTATCTCATTTCTTGATTGTTCTAGTCATTAGCCAAGTTTATTCATTTTTCTCTTTTTGTATTAGTTTATCTTGATATTAGTGTCAGGTATGTTTCCTTAAGCACCTGTTTATTTTATTTATTTATTTATTTATTTTAAGATTTTATTTTTTTTCTTTTCTCCCAAAGCCCCCTGGTACATAGTTGTATATATTCTTCCTTGTGGGTCCTTCTAGTTGTGGCATGTGGGATGCTGCCTCAGCATGGTTTGATGAGCAGTGCCATGTCCGCGCCCAGGATTCGAACCAACACTGGGCCGCCTGCAGTGAAGTGCGCAAACTTAACCACTTGGCCATGGGGCCAGCCCCAAGCACCTGTTTATTTTGTCACAAGCATGGAAAGATAAATCAAGTTAGTCTTTGTATCATTAAGATTCTTTCGGCTGTAAGTTTTTATTAATTCTGAATCTGCCTATTTAAGCGGAAGTGATTTAGTGCCGCATCTCACCAAAAGTCCTGAAGTGGAGCAGCTCTGGGGTTGACTGATTGGTTTAGTACATCACCAAAGGCCCATCTCTACCCTGCCATTCTAAGTACGTCAGCATTTTCCTCAGGGTACCGCCCCTCATGGTCATCAGATGGCAATGACAGTTCCAGCCGACACCTACTGATATGTCAGTGGCTGGTGGAATAAGAAAGACTGTCTCTTCCCACATGACTCTCTTTATCAGCAGTAAAACCTATCACAGGAGCCCCCAGCAGGCTTACTGTGTTCAGCTGGCTAGATTTCATCACATAACTCTGCCTGAGGAAGACTCTGCTAAGGGAAATGGGACCATCATTGTTGGCTCAAATAAATCGTGCTTCCTTCTCTTGGGATGAGGATGGGGGTAGGGATGGAGATGGGTCTCTTTTTTCCCTGTCTGAAGCACATCAACTTAAGGATGGGAGTGGGGAAAAGACAGGATTTTGCCAGCCAGGAAAAGAGCAGCAGAATTGTTGGGTAGGCAACACTGTCCACCTTCATCTGCCTCTTTGGGTAGGCAGCATCCAGTCACATCCTTCTTCCCATTCATGCGTCTTCAAAAATATTCCACTACTTCTGTTTTAATTCTCTCTTTTTTAAGGAAGATTAGCCCTGAGCTAACATCCGCTGCCAATCCTCCTCTTTTTGCTGAGGAAGGCTGGCCCTGAGCTAACATCCATGCCCATCTTCCTCTACTTTATATGTGGGACGCCTACCACAGCGTGGCCTGACAAGCAGTGTGTAGGTCTGCACCTAGGATCTGGGAAACCCTGGGCTGCTGAAGCAGAAAATGCAAACTTAACCGCTGCACCACCGGGCCAGCCCCTGTTTTAATTCTTGTACTGCATTAATGCAAGTCTAAGATCCTTGGTCCCACTCAGACCTGGTGGTAGTTCTTTATGGTCTGGTGATCTATAATTAAAGATAAGTTACCCACAAACAACCAGCCACACACATGCAGAGTGGCAGAGAGAAGTGCAGGGTAGGTACAGCAGGAATCCCCCTTCTGGGAGAGCAGTCGCAGTGAACACCATGTGGAAGTCATTGGTTTGCGGTGCACTGGGGTCCTGGTTGGGCAGTCTGTGCCAGGACTTCCTGCTGTGGCAGTGGCCCAGTGAGCCCCTGGTTCTTCTCTCTGAGTATAGTTTCATTTTTCATTGTCTTCTGTGGCTAAACTCACGATAGTCACTGGGGAGAATGCTTTTCCGTAGCTTCAGAATCGCAATTCTGTTGGTGCGAGTTGGCGTCCCAGGGATTGCTTTCAGACCACAGCCAGTAGTCGTATTTAATGTAGTCTTGAGTCATCTTTAAATGATTTTTAAACTTAATAATTTCTGTCTGGAACAACAAAAGACCCCAAATAGCCAAAGGATTCCTGAGAAAAAAGAGCAAAGCTGGAGGTATCACACTCCCCGATTTCAAATTATACTACAAAGCCATAGTAACCAAAACAGCATGGTACTGGCACAAAAACAGACACACAGATCAATAGAACAAAATTGAGAGCCCAGAAGTAAAGCCACACGTTTATGGACAGCTAATATTCGACAAGGGAACCAAGAGCATACGATGGAGAACGGAGAGTCTATTCAATAAATGGTGTTGGGAAAACTGGACAGCCACATGCAAAAGAATGAAAGTAGACCATTCCCTTACACCATGCACAAAAATCAACTCAAAATGGATTAAAGACTTGAATGTAAGACCGGAAACCATGAGACTTCTAGAAGAAAACGTAGGCAGTACGCTCTATGACATTGGTCTGAGCAGCATATTTTCAAGTCCCATGTCTGACCGGGCAAGGGAAACAAAAGAAAAAATGAACAAATGGGACTACATCAAACTAAAAAGCTTCTGCACAGCAAAGGAAACCATCAACAAAATGAAAAGACAACCTAACAATTGGGAGAAGATATTTGCAAACCACATATCAGATAAGGGGTTAATATCCAAAATATACAAAGAACTAATACAGCTCAACAACAAAAAAAGCAACAATCCAATTAGAAAATGGGCAAAAGATCTGAACAGAGATTTCTCCAAAGAAGATATACAGATGGCCAACAGGCATATGAAAAGATGCTCAACATCATTAGCTATGAGGGAAATGCAAATCAAAACTGCAATGAGGTATCTCCTCACTCCGGTCAGAATGGCTATAATTAACAAGACAGGAAACAACAAATGTTGGAGAGGGTATGGAGAGAAGGGAATCCTGTTCACTGCTGGTGGCAGTGCAAACTGGTGCAGCCACTATGGAAAGCAGTTTGGAGTAGCCTCAGAAAATTAAGGATAGATCTACCATATGATCCAGCTATTCCACTGCTGGGTATTTATCCAAAGAACTTGAAAACACAAAGGCATAAAGATACTTGCACCCCTATGTTCATTGCAGCATTATACACAATAGCCAAGATTTGGAAGCAACCTAGGTGCCCATCAAGGGACGAATGGATAAAGAAGATGTGGTATTTATACACGATGGACTATTACTCAGCCATAAGAAATGATGAAATCTGGCCATTTGTGACAACATGGATGGACCTTGAGGGTATTATGCTGAGTGAAATAAGTCAGAGGGAGAAAGTCAAATACCATCTGATCTCACTCATAAGTAGAAGATAAAAACGACAAAAAAAATCACATAGCATTGGAGATTGGACTGGTGGTTACCATTGGGGAAGGGGGAGGGGGAGGGCAAAAGGGGTGATTAGGGTCACATGTGAGGGGATGCACTATAATTAGTGTTCGGGTGGTGAACGTGATGTATACAGAATTTGAAATATGATGTACATCCGAAAAAAATAAAAATTAAAAACAAACAAATGAAAAATATAAAGGATTTCTGTCTTCTTGTCTCTGGCCTTGGTATTCTTTACTGATTTCTTTGAACTTTCCCTTGAGATACCAACCATAATCTTATTTTTTGCCATTATTGTTGCAAAGAGAATGCTCAACAGAAAACACAGTAGATTTCCTGGGAAATCAAATGAAGGAAGTCTGAGAGGTGGGAACCAAGGAAAACTAAGGATGGCAGAGTACAGTACCAGCAACAGAAACATCGGAAGGGTGAAGTATAGGAATTGATGGTAAGGACAGATTCAGTATCCGTGAACTCTGAAAGTCTACAGGGACAATGCTGATGGCCAAACACGTGAGCAAATCTGATTCTAGGGCAAAGATTAATTACTGACTGGCCTATTTTCTTCTTGATGGACACGTTTCTGACTTTAGGACCATATCATAGCCAGTAATACCCCCTCCCAAACCATTGTGGTAATCAGAAGTGCCCATATTTATTTCTCAGTGCATCCTGGGGAAGGTACTGACCAAGTTGGGAATTGACATTTGGGAAAATAAAATTTTGAGGTTGTGTACAAAATGAATAAGGTTGTGTACAGAATGTGTACAAAATGAATCAGATTTAGGAGGTAGGGAAACCTGGAATGAGGTATTGAGGCGCTCTGGTCTGCCATCTGCAAACTGGACTTGCTGCTGTGTTCTCTTAATACCCCTTTCTGTTCACTGCCTTGGTCAGCATGTTACTTTGGGACATCCTGATCAGCTCTACACATTCTCTCTTGAATCCAGCCTTCAAATGTTTGTCATTGTGCCTGAATACTTAGTCCTGCGTCGTCTTCGCTGTCTACTTTGTATCTTTGGCTTTAGGGGTTTTATTATGTTTAAACAGCCTTCTGTCCACCCTGCCCCCTCCTTGTTTTCCATTCTCCCCTAAGAAAACCACTTCCATCTCTTTTTAGCTCTTGCTTATGGCATTTACCTCCCTGTTTCTAAGTAAACAGCTTCTTCTACTGCACCTTGATTCCCCCACTCCCAATGATGATGACTCAGTATGGAAGGGTGGGAATTTAATTCTCTTTCACCCTCCTCCCTTCATACTCCCCAAGAAATACACACTGTCTCTTCCCATACCCCACCATCCTAATAAAGTTATTTCATACTTTTGGTTAAATCAGTCTTCAGTCTTTACATCTTTATGACTGTAATTTCCATTCATAAGTAAATCATGCAAGTATACACAGTTAATTTTTGTTCATAAATCATTTTTTTCTCTTGAGTTGTTTTATTTGCCTGCCCATTTTCTCTGTCCTTATCTTTAATGTATTTATCATCAATTTAACCCCAGACTCTTCTTCACATGTCTAAATATTCTTTTGGTACATTCAACCAAATGAGTTATGCTGTCAGTTTCATCTTCCATGCCTTTGACTTGCTCCAGCGTAACCTAGTTTTTCACAAGACCTGGTTATACAATCTTTATCCTGGAATTTAATTTCAGATTTTATTTTTTATACCTATTCTGTGTCATCTTTTTTCTTGGTTTGTTTTGTTGCAGCACTTCTTCCATTAGCTTCCTGTGAAGAGGTGCATGTGATATAAGTTTTGATACTTTTACTCCTGCATGCTCTGTTTTCTATTCTCTAGTCATACTAATGAGAGGTCAGATGCCATTTCTAAACTTTGATCCATTATATGAAACTTTGTGTTTTTGGTATTTCTGGAGGCTTTTACTGGGTGCTTCTTTTCCTCAGTGTTCTGAAACATTGTGATGATGTTTCTTGTGAGTTTGTTTTCCTCTGTTTGTCTTGGTATTCAATGGAACTTTATTCTCAAGGGGACTGTTAACTAAGTTTTTAGTTTTCTGCTCTTTCTTCTGATCTTAGCACAGTGTTTGGCACATAATAGTCATTCAACAATTATTTGTTGAATGAATTTAATGCTGCACTCCCCTCCAACCTCTTTATATTTTGTTCATTTTTCCTTGTACCTATTTTGCCTTCTTTACCCAATATATAAAAATTTTAAATTCAAAACCATCTGTATTCATTGTCAGTGTCCTATGCCTATCTTCATTTTTTTAGTTTTGCTTTGTTTTCCCCAGTATCCAGAAGTATGTACATTTACTCTTGAGATTTTATTTACTTCAGATCTTATATGTGAAAATAAATGAATAACTTCATGACATGGTATTTTTAAGGCAATTTTATGCTATTCCAGGATCATGTTGTTATTTATAACGTATGTTTATTTTCATTTCTAGGCAAAGTCTGGGAAATTGATGATCATATGAAAGGGCATCAAGAAAATGAAGGCAAGCTGGAAAGGATGGCAGAAGACTATGAATGTACTGCATTTGGAAAACTGTGTTTTGTTGGTACAAATTATGTTTCTTCAAGACAAAAGCTTCATAACTGTGGTACACATGGAAAGAGTTTGAAATATAATATAGATTTCAATGTTAATTATGTTGGAAAGACTCCTAATGAGTTTCATCCACGTAGGGAATCATTCCTCCGTTCTGAACATGAGCAAACTGTTATTGGAATAAAATACTGTGAAAGTAAAGAATCTAGGGAAACTGTCAACAGGAAGTCACCACTCATATGCCAACAGATATGTATGGGAGGAAAACCCTTCAAATGCAGTTACTGTCGGAAGGCTTTCAGCAGCAACTCATACCTTGTAGTGCATCAGCGAACTCACGTGGAGGAGAAACCCCACGAATGTAATGGACGTGGGGAAGACTGCAGCAGCAAGTCCTACCTCATGCTACATCAGAGATCTCATACAGGAGAGAAATGCCATGAGGGCAGTGAATGTGGGAAAACTTTTAGTTTCAATTCACAACTTGTTATACATCAGAGAATTCACACAGGTGAGAATCCCTATGAATGCTGTGAATGTGGAAAAGTCTTCAGCAGGAAGGACCAGCTTGTTTCACACCAGAGAACTCATTCAGGACAGAAACCCTATGTGTGTAGTGAATGTGGGAAAGCTTTTGGTTTGAAATCACAGCTCATTATACATCGAAGAATTCATACAGGAGAGAAACCCTATGAATGTGGTGAATGTCAGAAAGCCTTTAATACAAAGTCAAACCTTATGGTACATCAAAGAACCCACACAGGGGAGAAACCATATGGTTGTAGTGAGTGTGGGAAAGCCTTCACTTTCAAGTCACAGCTCACTGTACATCAGGGGGTTCACACAGGAGTAAAGCCCTATGGGTGCATTCAGTGTGGGAAAGCCTTCAGTCTGAAGTCCCAGCTTATTGTACATCAGAGAAGTCACACAGGAATGAAACCTTATGTATGCAGTGAATGTGGCAAAGCTTTCAGGAGCAAGTCCTACCTCATTATACATGTGAGGACTCATACAGGAGAGAAACTCCATGAATGCAGCGAATGTGGGAAAGCCTTCAGTTTCAATTCGCAACTCATTATACATCAGAGGATTCACACAGGAGAGAGCCCGTATGAATGCCATGAATGTGGGAAAGCTTTCAGTCGGAAATATCAGCTCATTTCACACCAGAGAACTCATGCAGGGGAGAAGCCCTATGAATGCAGTGACTGTGGAAAAACTTTTGGTTTGAAGTCACAGCTTATTATACATCAGAGAACTCATACAGGAGAGAAACCCTTTGAATGCAGTGAATGTAGCAAAGCCTTTAATACAAAGTCAAATCTTATTGTACATCAGAGAACACACACAGGAGAGAAACCTTATGGTTGTAGTGAGTGTGGGAAAGCCTTCACTTTCAAGTCACAGCTCACTGTACATCAGGGGGTTCACACAGGAGTAAAGCCCTATGGATGTAATCAGTGTGGGAAAGCCTTCAGTCTGAAGTCCCAGCTCATTGTACATCAGAGAAGTCACACAGGGGTGAAGCCGTATGGGTGCAGTGAATGTGGGAAAGCCTTCAGGAGCAAGTCCTATCTCCTTATACACATGAGAACTCATACAGGAGAGAAGCCACATGAATGCAATGAATGTGGGAAATCCTTCAGTTTCAATTCACAACTCATCGTACATCAGAGAATTCACACAGGAGAAAATCCGTATGACTGCAGTGAATGTGGGAAAGCCTTTAATAGGAAGGATCAGCTCATTTCACATCAGAGAACTCATGCAGGGGAAAAACCTTATGGGTGCAGTGACTGCGGGAAAGCCTTTAGTAGCAAGTCATACCTCATTATACACATGAGAACTCATTCAGGAGCGAAGCCATATGAATGTAACAAATGTGGGAAAGCCTTCATTTGGAAGTCTCTACTCATTGTACATGAACGAACTCATGCAGGGGAAAACCCTTATAAGTGCAGTCAATGTGAGAAATCCTTCAGTGGAAAATTACGGCTCATTGTACATCAGAGAATGCACACAAGAGAGAAACCGTATGAATGCAGTGAATGTGAAAAAGCCTTCATCAGGAAATCTCAGCTCATTGTACATCAGAGAACTCATTCAGGGGAGAAACCCTATGGATGTAATGAGTGTGGGAAAACCTTCTCTCAGAAATCAATTCTCAGTGCACATCAGAGGACTCATACAGGAGAGAAGCCTTGTAAATGCACTGAGTGTGGGAAAGCCTTTTGTTGGAAGTCACAGCTCATTATGCATCAGAGAACTCATGCAGATGAGAAACATATCGATGATTTAAATATAAGAAACTTTCTCTCAAAAGTCGATTCACAGGAAATACCAGCTAACTCCTATAGAAGAGAAGTTCTATAAATGGAATCATCTCTTACCCCAGAAAACTCACACTGAATGGAACTAACCTTATGAACGTATAGCATGTAGAAGAGCATCTGCAGAAAGCTGTATTTTATACATTAAAAAAAAATCAGTCAATGCACGCAGGAACCTTGTGAATTCAGCGTACCCTATGAAAATTTTCAGCACATCATACCGTTTTAGGTTTATAAGGTGAAGAACCATATGAATGAAATTAATGTTAGAAAGTCCTTTTTAAATATAAAACTCACAAAGAGGAAATTCCATAAAGCTAATGAATATAGAATACAGTCATTTGAAGTTCATAGTTCCTTAAACATTAGGATTTTAATGAGAAAATATAAGACCAATGAATGGCAGAATTATCAGAATTACAAACACTTGAGGTATCAGAAGCTCAAACTTTGGAGAAATGATGCTATAAGTTAGGGAAATTCTTCATCTAGAAATGACAAAGTTCTAGCAAAAAAAACATATGATCTTCAAATGTGTCAAATGGGATAAAGCCTCACTAGGAGGGTTCCCTTTGTTATTATTTTGATTAATTTGGAAAAATAATGTCCTTTACAAATTGTTTAAGGGTTGCAGATGTTCCAAACTTTTAGGAAAAGGTTGGAGAAAATATTCAACTAAAAATGATAGACATGTTATAATAGAATATAAAGATTTTTTTTAGCATGTAAGTGTAATAGTCATGTGTCACTTAAGGACAGGGACATGTTCTGAGGAATGCATTGTTAGACAATGTCGTGTGAACATCACAGAGTGTAGTTACACACAACTAGATGGTAGAGCCTACTATACACTAGGCTTTATGGTACTAATCTTATGGGACCACTGTCATATATGTGGTCCATCATTGACTGAAACAATGTTATGCAGTTCATGATGGTAATCAGGATAACAATAAGAAATACATCATAAGATCTTCAGGGATATTTAGATGTTATCCTCCTCTCTGTACTATATGAGTCTTGTATAGTTTGGCATTTTGCTTGTGAATGCCACATATGATAGGTTAGATAGTACGTAAGCATTTCCCAGGGATTTCTACTCTGCATAGCAGCATTCTTCTTAACAAATACAACTTGTTATTAGAATAATATGACTTATTAAAAATATATTTTGATAGTACAGACCTTTCTTATTATTTTGTACCCTTTTTTAAGGCCTGGCAGGTACCTCTTTAGTTATATATGTCAATATAGTGCACATTTCATGTGTTTGTGTAGCTGGAATCTTCTGCCCTCGCTGGTTAGAACATCCTGATATCCTTTAAGAGAAATAACCCTTCCCCATGTATGCAGTCAAGTAGACTGAGATACTGTGCACTAAATTGTTAATGGACTCTATGTACAGAAAAGCAAAATGAGCCTTTGTTCTCTGGTACCGTCTTGCTTCAATTATTAATTCATTCCTTGTACATAGATTACCCAGAATAGTCTTATGGTCATTTTTTCTTTTTTTTTTTTGAGGACGATTAGCCCTGAGCTAACTGCTGCCAATCCTCCCCTTTTTTCCAAGGAAGACTGGCCCTGAGCTAACATACGTGCGCATCTTCTTCTGTTTTATACGTGGGACGCCTACCACAGCATGGCTTGCCAAGCCGTGCCATGTCCGCACCCGCAAACCCTGGGCTGCTGAAGTGGAACGTGCAAACTTAACTGCAGCACCACCGGGCCGTCCCCTTATGGTCATCTTTTAATTCTAGCTCACTTGTAATCTGAGCTATCTGATATCCATTTAACACATTTATGTGATCCTGCTGATCTGTGTACATGTAAATGTTACTGCAGCTGTAGTCAGGGTGGTGACAGATCATTCTGTTAATTACTTACTTACAAAGTCAGTTTCCTTCACAACCTCACCAGTTTCCTGACATGAATGAGCATTAATCTGGAAAAAGCTGGGACCCTGGCAGTCAGATTGGGCTGTCTTGGAGGTATATATGGGGACTCAAAACTGCAACTATTTCTGAAACACCCTCCACTTTATACTCTAGTTCAGAACAGAATCCCATTTCTTACCCAAAGAAACTGTTCTTTCCTTGAAGGAGATAAATGATTTCTGAATGCCTAAGCCTCATTGTGTTCAGCTCATTATACAGGATCTAGTCTCAGGATGCCTGAGGTGAAGAATGACAATTCACAGAAGGGAAAAGAAGGCTTGCATAAAGAAAGAACTTCAGATATTTGCTAACGTGTATCCCCTCAATCTGGAAAATATCAATGGATATGTATTTCACTGTTCCAAGGAAGATACACAATAAAAAGTAAATACATAAGAGAAAGTCAGTATTCTATTTACTATTACCCAGGGTCAATTAGGTTTTAAAGGTTGCTGTATTGTGTGAGGCAAATCCACATGCCACCTTGCTCAGTAGAAACCAGAAATGTCGACATAATGTTGAAGGTAGGATAATGCTGGGTTACGTCTTAGTCTTAAACGAAATGGAAAATTTACCAGATAGATGAAACTTAACAAATGAATAGATCTACAGCCAGTAAACAGAAAAGTTAAAAATTGAATCCCTGGGTCGAAAAATCTACCTAGTCCCTCTAGCCCTGCCCCAGCCCCCTAAAACAAAGAGGCTCCAGAGACTTTTCAGTAATAGTTGACAATTTTCAGGAGAGGTCAATGAAAGCTAATTCCAACGTTTTACAAGACTTCCCAGAAAATAGACATTTGGGGGGAAAATGACTTGCAAATCATGTTTAAGAACTTAGATTTTAAAAGTCCTAAATTGGAAATTATAGCAAAATGCATCTAATGTAGAGTTCTTTTTAAAAAAGTCATGACGTTCTCAAGTGTAGCAGTGGTGGACCCACTATCCCTTCAATACCAACAGAATCTCTGGTTTGCATAATGGTTACATGCCCAGCTAAAAAGCTACATCTCTCCATTTTGTTTGTAGCTCAGTGTGATCATGGTACTAAATTCTGAGTAATGAAATATAAATAGAAGTTGCTGAGAGAGTCTAATGGGAAAGTTCTTCCAAAAGAAAACAACTAGGAAAGCCCCCTGCTGTCCTTTAATCTTACCTTTCTTTAATATGCAGCACACGTGATGGAGAATTATCAGCCATCTAGAACCTGAATTCATCCTGAGGGTGGAAGCCATCTGCCAGGGTGCAGTGGGAAGATAAGAGTGCCTGGATGGAGCTGTTACGTCAGCCTTTGACTACCAACATCTGGGCATCTTTTACACAAAAGAGAAGTGACTGTCTTGTTTAAGACGCCTTTTCTTTGAATGGAATAAGAGCTGGTTCTGTAATATGCAGCCAAATCTGGCCCTAATTGAAACACAGTAGGATGTTTGGAAGATTTAATATTAGAAAATCTTTTTATAAAATTAACCACACTACCAGGTAAAAGAAAAGCCATAAGATTATCTCAATATATGTAGATAAGTCATTTGATGGAATTTAATACCCATAGATGAGTTTAAAATATTGCTAGGAGTAGAAATTAACTCCTTTAACTGCAAGAAGTAGGTTTCAAAAACTGACAAATGTACTTAATGGTACAATAGTAGATATTTACATTTAAATTAAGAAAATTACACGAATGCTCATTACTTTTATTGAACAGTATAATGGCAGTTCTAGCCAAGGTATGAAAACAAAAGATTTTACGGAATTGGGGGTGAGAGCAGAAATAATTACATTGTAGAGGTGACTGTCTATTAGGAAAGTCAAAATAAACTACAGGCAAGTATTTAGAATTACAAATAGAGTAGGAAGTGTACTGGATATATATCCAGTTTTCAACAGTTGTGTTCTGCTTCTGGTTAAACTGGATAAGCTACAAAATCAGAAAACAGAAGACAAAGAAACCCAAATGAACAAAACACTAGAAAGTAAGAAACACTTTATGTAAGAAAAGAATGTTGCTGTGCTCATCCTCAGTGGAACCACAGACAGAGGAGAGGTCCCGCAGAGAGTAAGGGGAAGCAAGGTGAGCTAAACAGCAGTTGTCTGAACAAAGAGCCCCCACCACAGGGGTTTCCAGCCAACTCTCCCATAGGTCATTGTGAACCCTTAGAGATAGTATGACAAGTGTGATATTGGTGGAGAAAGCTAAAATAAAAAAAGATCCTGCTGAGATGTCCAGGTCCTCTCCTAAGTGCAGGGCAGATATTATCTGAAGGCAGGAAGGTGGACAGGCAAGAGTAGAGAGATTCTGAGGGCAGAATCTGATCCTGCACTCAAAATGTTTGAGAAAGCAGTTGTGAACTAAACCAAAATCTGCAACAAACCCCAGAGCAGCTTAAATATAGGTCAGGTTGATTCAGTCCCACCCTATCTTCTAATCTAACAGCTGACGTTAGAAAACAGTCTTTTTGGAAATAAATATGTATCCAGAGCAAAGAAAATTACTAGGAATAAAGAGGAATTTATATAATGATAAAAGCATCATTTCACCAAAAAGAAATCCTGAATGTGCATGCACTTCACAATGAAGCTTCAGATCATACAAAAACTGAGAGCTGAAAGAAATATACTCCACTATCTTAGTTAACACTTCAACATTTGTTTCTCAGTAACATAACCTGGAAACCAAAATTCAGCAAGTTATGCCATCATCAACAAACTGGATCTAGAAGACATTTCTAGAACATCCAACAGCAGAATACACATTCTTCTCAATTGCACATGAAGCATTCACCAATATAGGTCATGTCCTGGGTCATAAAATAAATGCTAAATGTTTAAAAATGATTGTAATCATACAAAATGTCTTCAAATTATAATGCAGTTTAAGAAGAAACCAACAGCAAAAAGAACAGGAAAATCTCCAAATACTTGGAAATTAAGCAACACAATTCGAAACAATCCATGGTTCAGAAAAATTTCAAGAAAAAATGGAAAGGATTTTGAATTGAACAAGAATTAAAATATAACATGTCAAAATTTTTGAGATGCAGAAAAACCAGTGTTTAGAAGGAAATTTGTAGCATTAAATGCTCATATTAGAAAAGAATAAAGGTCTCATATCAATAACCTAAACTTCTAGTTTATGAAAGTAGAAAAAGAGTAAAATAAGCCCAAAGTAAACAAGAATGAAATAAAAAGGATAAGATCAGAAACCAATGAAGTAAAAAAACAAAAAAGAGTAGAAGGAAATGTTATAAACAACACTACAGACATAAATTTGACAACTTTGATGAAATAGACAATTCTTAAAAGACACAAACTACCGAAGCTCACTCAAGAAGTGGAGACCCTGACTAGCCCTCCATTTACTAAAAACATAAATTCATAAAAACCTTCCAGCAAAGAGAGATTCAAGCTCAGATCATTTCACTGGTGACTTCTATCAAACATTTAAGAAAGAATTTCAATCTTATATAAACTTCCAAAAAATAGAAGATGAGGAATACTTCTTAGCTCATATTATGAGGTCAGCATTACACTGATAACAAAACCAGAGGTATTACAAATAAAAAAAAATGTTCCTCATGAAAGTAGATGCCAAAATCCTCAACAAAATGCTACTTAATTTAATCCAGCAATATAGAAAAAGGTAATACATTAGGGGAAATTGGAGTTTAGCTTGGGAATGCGAAGCTGAGGCTGATTCAATATTCAAAATCCAATCAGTAACTCACACTGTTTGACTAAAGAATAAAAACCATACGATCATCGGTGGGCGGAGCAAAATGGCGGGGTGAGCTCACCCGGGATTCTCTCCCCTCCAAAATACAACAAAAGATTGGAAGAACTGAATTTCAGAGAATAAACATAATGCCAGCTCGTTAGAGACCTACAATACCAAGAAGGCAGAGATCATAAACCTTGCTCACACCCTCGGAGGCGCTGGAATGGTAGGAGAGAACATCGCTCCCTCCCCTAGAGTCTGCGATCGCTGCGGCGCGGGTCGGGAAGGAGCGGGGGAGGGGCCGCACGACCAGGGATCATCCAGGACTCCTGCCGCTGATTCAGTGGAGACCCGCTGACGGGGGGAAAGCTTCCGTCCACAGGGACCCCATAAATCAAGGGCCTTGGGAGACCAGAGAACAGAACTGATCTGAACCCAGACTGGCGCGTGTGAGTAACAGCCGCCCCTCCCCCCCCAAAGGCGGAGAGCTCAGAACACGCGGCTCTCGACCCCCATCTAGTGGCGACAGGCTGTAACTGCAACCGAATTCTACCGCCATGCAAAAAAACCGCTCCTCTACCATCCAGCAATTTATAAAAGCCCCAGACCAGAAGGAAAACAATAAAAACACAGAATTAAGTCCTGAGGACGTGAAATTAGGTAAACTAAGTGATAATGAATTCAGAGCAGCTATAATCAAAAAACTCAATGAGGTAGAGAGAAAGATAGAGAAACAAGCCGAGTTCTGGAGTTACTTCACAAAAGAGATTGAAATCATAAAGAAGAATCAAACAGAATTACTTGAGATGAAAAACACAATGGACCAGATAAAACAGAATACGGATTCCCTGAATGCCCGTGTAGACAATATAGAGGAGCAAATCAGCATAATCGAGGACAGACAGGCTGAATGGTGCCAGACAGAGGAAGAAAGAGAACTAAGAATTAAAAAAAATGAGGAAAATCTCCGAGAAATAATGGATTCAATGAGGAGTAAGAACATAATGATCATAGGAATTCCCGAGAATTTGGAAAAGGAAAATGGAGCAGAAAGTGTGCTTAACGAAATTATTGAAGAGAACTTCCCAAATCTAGGGATCAATGGAGAAATGTGTGTAGAGGAGGGTTTTTGATCTCCTAGATTTGTCAATGTAAAAAGACCCACCGCAAGGCACATAGTAGTAAAGTTGACAAGTAGGAATGATAAGGACAGAATACTCAGGGAAGTAAGGGAAAAAAAGAGAATAACCTATAAAGGAGCCCCTATCAGACTGTCAGTGGATTTCTCTACAGAAACCCTACAAGCTAGGAGAGAATGGAGTGATATATTCAAAGCTTTAAAGGATAAAAGCCTTCAGCCAAGAATACTCTATCCAGCAAGAATTTCCTTCAGATATGAGGGAGAAATTAAATCTTTTCCAGACAAACAAAAGTTAAGGGAATTTGTAACTAAAAGCCCTCCATTACAAGAAATCCTCAAGAAGGCTCTCATATTTGAAAAAAGAAAAAAGGGAGAAAGGGGACACAATCCACAGACTAGGGAGACTGATGGATAGAACCAGAACAGGATAGCAAATATTCAACTATAGCATTAGGGTAAAAATAAGGAAACTACCAAAACAAGGACGATCTTAGCACTCTAACTACAAATTAATAAGACGAGTTGGAATAAAAAATGAAAATA